GCGGTTTTGAATGACGGCTGAGTGAGAGACCATTCACGGCCCTCTGATCAGGGGCTTCGCCAGGGGTTTGGGATGGCAGTTTCGCCCGGGGGGGTTGACAACTGATAACATGTGAGGGTGTGGCACTCCAGAGGCAGATCAATCCGTAAATGATGTTAGGACGCATGTCACTGGCGGGGCGTTATTCGGGTCGCAGCTTCCACTCAGTGATGACGACGTTCCGCTGGAAGCGTGATTTGTGAGTGATAGGTTGGGCAGTTTATTGCGTGGGGAATGAAGATCTCTATCATCAATGTTCTGGAGGGGCGCGGGTAGTCCGGTGACGGTGCGGTTTGGGCGAAACTACGATGATCGCAGTTGTTGCAGAAGAGTGGTATGATGCGGTTGCAGCTTTATCTCTTGGCGTGGTACATTGCAGTCATAGGATGGGCAAGTTCTCACACTGACAAGCAAATCCTGCCGACGCAGTGGCCTTGATGGCCGTTGTATCCGCGGGCGGGGGGTCTAACCCCCCTTCTTTCAGGCCTGTGTTCTCCTTTGATCCTTCTCCCTCTGCTCTTGCTTTTCTCCGCGGGCGCGAAACATGTCCATATCCATGGCCTCCTGGAATCCTCGGCCACGACACTGCTGATACAGGGCGGCTTGGCACTGACGCCCCGCGCGGAACGTGTCCCTGGGATCGCGCATCCATGGGACCGCGCCCCAGCTCGGAATTGACGTGTCCGTCGAACGTGCCATCCTGCTCCTCGAACGTGCGTCCGCGGGCCAGCCCGCGCGTGCTAGGTTCTGCTCTGGGCGTGCACGCCTGCGGGGCCTGGAGGCCCTGCACGATACAGGCATACTAAAAACCTTAGTGACTGTTGGGTGCGGCGCTGCGCTCCCTGCGATACTTCGCTGTGTACTGAAGTTCTGTAGTTGGTCTTCCGACTTGTGAAGCCTCGTGCTGTGAACAGGTCGCGGCCATTGTTGTTTTGCTCTCTCTCTCTCTCTCTCGCTCTCTCTCTCTCTCTCTTTCTCTTTCTCTCTTTCTGTTCTTCCCGTCCACGCGGACGCCGTAGGGTTGATAGGAATATGGGCGTTTTTCCATCGTTATGCCCGCCCCTGGCCGTTGCTGTCTGTCGTGCGCGCTTTCCCTTTTGCTTCCCTCCTCGCTCCTCCCTCCTGGATTGCCGCTGTGTGTGCTTTAACTTTATGTTTGTGGCCGTTTGGGCCACAGGGGATCCTCACACGGCGCCGCCCTTCCTCCTCTGCACGATCTGTGAGCTTCCCGTGAGAGGCGATTTGAGGTGCACGCCCTGGGACTGGAGGCGTACAGACAGCGAGACATGCTTTGCGTGTTGGAGTGCACCCTGGCCTCGGGGTGCGACAGGGAGAAATGAGGTAGAAGGAACAAGTGCTGCTCCTGGTCCTCCGCTTCCCTCTGATCCTCCTGCTGCTCCTTCTGCCGTGTCTCCTCCCTCCGGGCCTCCACGGCCACCGGGGCTCCGGACGGCAGCGCGCATCATGGGCAGGAACGTAGCACGAGCTCCGAGCTCCCGCCATCCGCCTCGTGATCCTCCCCGTCCTCCTCGTCCCGAGCAGCGCCTGAGCCCTTCGAGCGCCGCGCCGCGCAGCTCTCCTCCAGCCTCTCCATCCTTCCTTCTCTCCAGACTCAAGCCTTGTCGACCGGGCAGTGCACAGCCCCCGCTGTTTTCTGGCGCTCCCATCCGCCTCCTTGTGCCGGCAGCAGCAGACACTCGCGCCACAGCGCTGCGCGCGCCTCGAGGCGTGAGCCGAAGGCTGGAGCCTTTTCCGCGGGCTGCCTGCCGTGCAATCCTCCCCGCCCACGTCCTGTTCCTATTTCTGTTCGTTCTCCTCTTCCTCTCGTCCCTTCTCCTTTGCAGCCTCTGGCGACCAGTCGTGGGCGTTCATGGGGGGGGAGGGCCGGCAACGTCGCGATCAGCTCCTGCGCCGTCCGTGAAACAGCTACGCTTCCCCATTCGCAGACGGGGCCTGTTGCGAAGCCTGACGACGTTCGTTGCCGTGGAGGGGCTGGGGGGGGGGGCAGGAGAACGGCGCGGCCCCAGCACCAGGCGTCATCGCGAGCGTGTGGGAAACGAGGCCCGTCGTCCTCCTCGCAGAAGCCTCGTCTCTATCCTCTTCCTCCTCCTCCTCGGCCTCCTCACCCACTTCCTCTTTCTCCCCCCTCCTCCCCTCCCATGCTCCCCTCGCACGTGGATGGAGCAAGCACCTCTTACACCCCCTCGTGCGCCTCACTCTCATACGCTCAAACTTAATTAGATGGCAGGCGTGGCTGCCTCAAGTGCTTTTTGTGGTCTACTAGTTTTTATCGCATCCGCGTCTCTGCCAGTCCTCCTTAACTGGCATGCCGACGACCGTATATCGTAAACTCTTGATTGGTGCGTTCGTTATTGTGGAAGCTCTGTGCAGCTAGCCACTGTGCCGGCGTGCGCACGACTTCGGCGGCCGAGTTCAATCGCGTTCGCGCGGGGTCCTTGAAGCGCAACCAGAATGGGTGAATCTTGTTCGTTCTCCTGTTTCATGCGCGTGTGTGCATGCGTGCGCGCGCACCACTATATATAAATGTATATATATGTATACCTGGGGTCGGGGGCAACCGCTCGTTGCAGTTATCGGGCGACCAACGTCACACACATTTGCACGTAAAAGAACGATCGTCAACATTGGGCTGGCACGCGGGGACATTTACAAAATGCTCGGTTGCTTCGTCGCGCGCCGCGCTCCCCAGGATTGGTGACGTAGTCATTGCGTCGTGTAAACCGCTCATTACGGGAGTCTCGTTCTCACGGCTCCATATCCATGTGGTTGACACGGGGGGCGGGCAGCATGCATCCCAAAACCCCGCTCATCCTATTTGTTGTGACAATCAGGGCGTCCGGTTTGCAACAGGACTGTCATGCAAAGCGTTTGGAGTCTCGCCGTTCCCTATCCTATCGATGGTCCCAGCCCTCGGGCGCTGACTCAAGTAGTAAGGAGGGCTCGGTGTAGAGCACCGGACACGACCTGGCATTTTGCAAGTTCTTGTTATACCAAGTGGGCGGGAGTTGTCGGCACATGCGTTCGGCCATTTTCGCCCCCCCCCCCGCGGGTCTGAGCTGTGACTGATTTGGCGACCAGTGCCAGCCATCTAGTTTAGAGGTTTCGCCAGGGCCTGTTGACAGAGTTTCGTGTGGGAGGTGATGGCAAGTTTCTCGCAAGGTTAACCGAGGGTGTGGCGCTTTGGAGGAATATACACGAGCGAATTACGACAGGACACAAGTGATTGGCGGGACGACATTTGGGTTGCAGCTTCCGCCGGTTGGTAGCGACATCTCGTTGGCAGTTTTGTTTTTGGGCGATGGCTGTTGCAGTTTTTCCGTGGGGGGAATGAGGATTTCGCGCGCCAGTGGGCGAGCGGGGCGCGGGTATTCCGGTGGCGGTTTGGGCCTCGTGAGGGGGGCATGTCAGGTGTAGCCAGGGGTGGGAATACAAAGATGAATCAATATTCTTTGTTTTTTTATGTTTTTGCGCGCGTGCGTGTGTGGTTGCGCGAAAAAACGGCCAGCTGTCGGGGGCAACCGGTCGTTGCAGTTATCGGGCGACACATGCTTAACATCAACGGCCTTGAGTTTGTCAACGGTTGGGCGAGCATGGCGCGACTGGTTGCGAGTGGTCGGTTGCTACATCGCTCGCCGCACTTCCCAGGATGGGCGACGTAGTTGTTACGCCGGGATAGGCATGGTTCCAGATCCATGTGGCTGACACCAAACAGCGGGTCGTGTGCATCCCATGCCCCGCCCACGTTTGATTGTTGTGAGGATCAAGCCGCGACGCTTACAGCAGAACGGTCATGCAGCACGCTTGGTACACCCAGGTGGCTTTCATAGGGAAATGAGGGTTAGTTTCGACTGGAATGGCGTCTCTCAGGACCCCCATTGGACGACCACCCCAGGACCCCCCCTGACTCACGCCGACAGGGTCGTTGGATTCTTATTGTCAAGCCGAGAGAGCGTGGCGTTCATCCGTCGACGTCTCTGACGAATGAGTGCATTGTTCTGGAACTGGCTTAATTTGAACCTGGGCGTCAAGACTTGGAGACCATCGGAGTAGAAGTTTGAAGCAATGAGTGGAAGGAGATGCTTCGCAGTTTGGCGCAAAGCGGCTGCAGCGTGTCAGGGGTAAGGTTCGGACAGGGAGAAAAAGAAGGTGGAAGAGAAGGGAAGGGAAGGCTGCAAGGGGGATGCGGAAGGGAAAAAGGAAACTGGAATCATAGGAGAACATACGTGCACATGGGATTTGCCTTCATTTGTTCCTGGTAGCACGGTGTCTGGTTCGGATCGGATCGTACCTTCGGAGGACCGCTTTGGGCCTGCATGCCGTTGAGTCAGAGCACGGCGGGGGAATCGCGAACCCAGGACGAGAACCCCGCCGAGCGAAACCAAGTTGCATTCTTCAACTTGCGCGCAGCGCACCCGAGCACCACCTTGGGATCGTGGCCCGGGAGGCCTCGGTCTCCTCTGACCTCCTCCTCACCACCCACCAAGCCACCCCAACCCAACCCGAAAGCTCAGATTTACATCGATTTCCAGTGGGGGGGGGGTCGGGAAACATCGAGAAAACACATGTGGAACCCTTACCCCCCAACCCGAGATTCGGGTCTTCGGGTTGGGTTGGGGTGGTCTGGTAGGTAGTCACCTCCTGCCTCCTCCTATCTCCTTCTCCTGCCTCGAGGCCCCTCCGAGGCACCCCGCGCGCTCGCCGGGGGCGCGCTGCTCCGCCTCTCTGGGTCCTCCGGCCGCTCCCTTCTGCAGCTGGGCGGGCTTCACGTGCCAGGCTTGTAGCGTTCGTCCTCCTCCTCCTCCGCCTCCGCCTCCTCCTCCTCCTCCTCCTCCCCTCCTCCTCCTCCTCTTCCTCCTCCTCCGCGCTCTGTCGTCGCCCTTTCTCGCCGCCAGGCTCCCCAATGGATGGTAAAGACTCCGCCCCGCGCGCGCCGCCGCGAGGTCAGCGGCCCCCCTGGCGGCCAGAGGGTGAGCCTCGTCCTCGGGGGCCAGCCCGGGCTCCGGCCCGAACCCGAGGAGGCCGGCCAGCCGCGCCCTCCGCCCGCCCCGCCTGCTGCGAGCCCTGGCCCGGCAGTCGTGGGCGGAACACATCATCACCGAGCAAGGTTGCCAGAGACGTCTGAAGTTGAACGTACCGCTTATCACTAGGAGTGCAGGCAGAGCTCTCAAGACACGGTTACCCTACCAATTCGCTTGCCGCCTTCAGTCGTGGCCCGCCTGGAAGGCAACGGTTGCGTGTGGCCGTCCTTCCATGCAGCTCTGCGCGCAGCAACATCCCCGCGATCAAGCTCAGGTGGGCGAAACATATCTCCGTATCCGCGGCCTCGCGGGCCAGGCCCTTGGGCCACGACGCCGTGTTGTTACCGGGCGCTATTCCGCGAATACCCCGCGCAGAACGTGCCCGTGCGACCGCGTATCCGGGGGATCGCGCCCTGGAGCCCAGACCACGAGGGCGCGGACACGGATATGGTCGCCGCTCGAGAAAAATAGAAATTCTGTCCGTGTTGTTTTGTATGTTTCGATATTTGGTTATTTTTTGCTTCTTTTTGTAGCGGCCCTCCTTTGATTATTTTCGGCCTCCAGGGGTCCTCCACGGGCCCCGTGACCGTCAACAAAACGATTCGGGATGAAAAGCCTGCCCTAGGGAAGTGGTCTAGACCTCTCGAGGTCCACGCGTCAAACGAAGTTGCAGCGCCAGATGTCTTGGGCGATCCCGTGTCTACTTCGGGGACCTGCGTCTGTCCCCTGAATTGGCGTCCTATCGCGTGCCCGTCGCGGGCTCGGTGCGAACTCGACGTGGATTTGGGGCGGATTCAGGACCCGATCATCCGGACACGGCACGTCTGACGCGTCACACGCTTGGCCCCGTGGCAAGTAGAATTTGAGCGCGCGCGAATAAGGAATCGACATGCCACTATTTGCACTACGAAGTGTTCTCACCCCACGATGACCCCAGGGACCCACATAAGCTCTGAGGCACTTCAGGACCCTCAAAATTGATGATCAATGTGCACAAGACGTTCCTACATCAGGATGTATGAATGTATGTGTCTACTGAGGTATGTGGTGATTGCTTTGACGTGGACTCGTCGTGTTGCTTGTGTGCTTGTGGAATCTCGCCGCCGTATCTACTCCGTCTGGCCCTGCCCAGGAGGAGGGAGGTGGGGCGATGCGGCAGAGCCCAAAGCATCGAGAGCAGCCAATGACAAGTTAACGAAACCAGTTATCGAGAGCATCGAGAGCAGCCGTGTTAATTCTTCATACTTCTCATCATCCTCCACCTCCTTCGCCTCTGTCTCTCACTCACTCTCTCTCTCACTCTCATTTTCTTGGTTGTTATGTTCACTTGCGGCCTCGACGGAATCGAGCCACTTCTCCTCCTTATTTCCAGCCCCCCCTCCCCCCTTCCCTTCGCCTCTCTTCCCCCTCCTCCCTCCCCCCTTCATCGCCCCTCCAACTTTCCTCTCGCACTCCACCCTCCTCACTCCCCCTCCCACCCTCCCTCCTCCCCTCTCTCCCATCACCCCCCGCTTCCAGTCCTCAGCCCCCTGTCCTCCTATCCTCCTCTCCTCCTCCCCGCCCGCCCTCCCCTTTGCCTCCGCCTCTCCCCCCCGTCCCCCTCTCCGCCCCCCCCCCCCCACCCCCCACTCCATCCTCGCCGCTTCGGCTCGCACTCCCGCGCGCACAGGGCCTCCGAAGGCCCCGCTGAGAGCCTCCGACGGCCCTCGCGAAGGGCCCCGCGGAGAGCTCGCCCCGCGTGGCGCGGAGCGTAGCGCAGCGCGGTGCAGCGCGCGCGCAGGAGCCCTTCTTCCCCTTCAACCCCTCGGCGGCGGAGTTTGTCCCGGGCACCGGCGGCCCTGGCCAGAAGGGGCAGGGCGGACCGAAGGG